CTGAATAATATTCCATTGTATGACTGTACCACAGTTTGTTTATTCATTCACCTATTGAGGGGTATCTTGGTCGCTTCCAAATCTTGACAGGTATGAATAAAGCTGTTATAAACATACATGTGTAGGTTTCTGTGTGGACATACATTTTCAGCTCATTTGGGCAAATGCCAGGAACATGATTGCTGGGTTGAATGGTCGGTTTACTCTCAGCTATGTAAGAAACTGCCCAGCTTTCTGCCAAAGTGTCTGTACCGTTTTGCATACATGGACATCTTTGAGCCTCTTGAATGTGCAGATCAATTTTTTAAAATCAAATTTGGGAAGTTTTCAGCCATTATTCACATACTCTTTCTGTCCTCCCCTTTCCCCCTCCTATTACACATTTGCTGCTGTGCTTAATGATGTCCCACGGGTCTCTCAGGCTCCGTTTATTTTTCTTAATTCTTTTTTCTTGTTGTTCCTCAGACTGGTTCCTCTCAATTGGCCTGCCTTCAATCGCACTGATTCTTTTGTCTGTCAGTTGAAACCTACTACTGGACCTCTCCAGTCAGCTTTTCAGTTCAGTTATCGTACTTTTCAATTCCAGATTTCTCTTGGTTCTTCTTGATACCAGATTTCTCTTGGTTCAATTCCAGATTTCTCTTGGTTCTTCTTGATAAGTTCTTCCTCCTTATTAAAATTCTCAATTTGGTTAGATATTGTTCTCATACTTTCTTTTAGTTCTTTGAAAGTATCTATAAGAGCTGATTTAAAGTCGTTGTTTAGTTTAGGGCTGGCTGGTTACCTCACTTGGTTAGAGCATAGTGCTGATAACACCAAGGTCCAGGGTTTGGAGGCCCATACCTGCCAGCTGCAAAAAATAAAATAAAGTCTTTTTTAGTTAAGTCCAATGCCTGGGCCTCCCTGGGGACAGTTTTTATTGACAGCTTTTTTTCTTGCATATGGTCAAACTTTTGTGTTTCTTTGCATGTCTTGTAGTTTTTTTGTTAAAACTGGACATTTTATAATAAAATGTGTCAATTCTGGAAATCGTACTTTTACCCCTACCCTGCCCAGGATTTGTTGTTGCTATTTGTTTGTTTCGTGGGTTTCCTGGACTAATTTTCTAAAGTCTATATTCTTTGTTGTGTGAGGCCACTCAAGTGTCTACTCAGCTTGCTAAAGGGTCTGCTAACGATTGGACAGAGATTTCCTTAAATTCCTTGAAACGATAAGGAGGAGAAATTGCTTAAGGGCATATTTTTGTGTAGTGTTTTGAGTTTTAGTGGTTGAAATTCTTGAGTATTTAGCAGAATCTTCCTGTGTTTGCTTTCTAATGGAGGCTTGGAGTGGGATGGTAGTCAAGATAGTTGGAAGAAAATAAGATGAGCAACTAATTCAGTTGCAGGATTGTCATTAATATGCCAGTGAACATTGGGAATCTTCACAGTGGGGATAGGATATGTTGGATTGTCCAATCATTTTGGACCATTAAACTGTTCTTTGGCACCTATTTTGGGAAATGCTACTGGAGTTTTCTTTCAAAAAACTTAACCTAAATTTCAGGATGTTTTCAAACCTTTAGCAATCCACAAACACAGCATTGCAAATATAAGTAAAATTTCCAGAGAAGGAAATTTTTAAAAAGAGAAATCGACCAACCATAATTTTGAGAAAAAAAAGTATACAGGATTAGTTCACTAGCATGCTTTCTGAGAGTATGTGTACAACATGTGTGTATATATTCCTTCACACATTTCTCATTTTATTTCACAGATTTTTAAAAAAGCTTCATGGGACATAGCACCATTGCTGGACGCCTGGTACGTTTAAGAAATCTGACAGCATGAGAGGTACTCAGAATAGACGAAGAATGTTACCTGGAATCAGAGCACCAAATGACCCAGACTTTCCTTAAATCTAAATGGTAAAAAGTCTCAATACTTCTCTTAACATTATTCTATACTAATAGTGGTCAATTATTTTCATTTGTACTGTTAATATTTACTATTTATTTACTAATAAATATTAATAACACTGAACATTTCAGTGTTTATTCTGGTGTTAAAAACTCATTTCAAATCTCTATAAATCTGGTATGGAGACAGTTGATGGTATTTGACTTTCTTTTTTAGAACATCTGCACTTATTAGATATAGAACCAATTGCCAAGTTATAAAATCGATTTTGAGAACAGAATATTTGAATGTTTGTAAGCATTATGTATAGTAAAAGTGGTTGGGTTCCTGGAATTTGAAATAGACAAAAGGTCTGTCCTAAGTTACAATTGTATATAACTGTTGTTTTTCCATAAGTCTTAATTGTTATAGTCTGTTATAACCAATGCAGGAAATGCAAGGCTGTATCTCTGTTTTGGATTGTGTATACCTCGTCTTCCTGTAGTGCCCGGCACAGAACTGAACTCCACAAGACAGCAGCCCAGCACAGTTCCAAATCTGATCTCACTTCAGCTGTGCCTTTTTGGTCTGGTTTATAAATTTAACTGACTTGTCCTTCTTCAAAGATTCTTTTAAGTCACAACCATTCTGAACTTCTAAGTGTACCCTTGATGCTAAATCTTTAAAAACCAGAATGGATCTGAGCTCTTCAAATCTTCAAGCCTGCTGGCACCAGCTGATGGACATTAATAGATTGTTAGGAAGAACTTAGATTAGTAATGATTTCAAGACAAGCGGTGCTAATTCTTAGAACTGGCACAGTATCAAAAACTCACCAGCTGTAGACAGTTTAATAATTATGGCCTCGGGTTCAACTGTGTTTTTGCACCTCAACATACCTGAGAGATAAAATGTTTATTGTAGGATATTCCAGTATTCTTGTACTAGGCTTTGGTTCTATTTTCCCCCAATCTGTGGCATTAATAGAAAAGACTCTGGGTTTCCTACAGCACCACCTCTTTTCCTCTGATTACCCCAATTTGTTTTTGTTTTAAACATCTGGCCTTATAGCGATTATAAAAGACTATGTTTTTATGTATTGTTCCATTTTTCTTTTAGTGCTCTTCTTCATTTCAAGATGCCTTTGCACTTCTGATAAATGCAGACTGACAACTCTCAAAGCCATGACAACAGAGGGAAAATTGTTGTTGCCTGAAGCCTAGAAGACTGCCCTTAACCAAGGAAAGTCCTTGCTTGTCGTTTGAAATGCTGAGGAAGTTGCTGCGGAGGAGACTTTTTTCTTATCCCACTAAATACTGCTTTGTGGTTCTTATTTTTTCCCTAGTCACCTTCTCTGTTTTAATCATTCATCAAAAGCCCGAATTTGTAAATGTCAGACACTTGGAGCTTGCTGGAGAGAATCCTAGTAGTGATATTAATTGCACCAAAGTTTTACAGGGTGATGTAGGTGAAATCCAAAAGGTAAAGCTTGAGATGCTGACAGTGAAATTTGGAAAGCGCCCTCGATGGACACCTTATGACTATGTAAACATGACCCGCGACTGTGGTGCTTTCATCAAGAGGCGTAAATATATCGTAGAACCCCTTAGTAAAGAAGAGGCGGAGTTTCCAATTGCATATTCCATAGTGGTTCATCACAAAATTGAAATGCTTGACAGGCTCCTGAGGGCCATTTATATGCCTCAGAATTTCTATTGCATTCACGTGGACAAAAAATCAGAGGATTCCTTTTTAGCTGCGGTGATGGGCATTGCGTCCTGTTTCAGTAACGTCTTTGTGGCCAGTCAGTTGGAGAGTGTGATTTATGCATCCTGGGGTAGGGTCCAGGCGGACCTCAACTGCATGAAGGACCTCTACGGAATGAGTACAGCCTGGAAATACTTGATAAATCTTTGTGGTATGGATTTTCCTATTAAAACCAACTTAGAAATTGTCAGAAAGCTCAAGTCATTCATGGGTGAAAACAACCTCGAAACCGAGAAGATGCCATCCAATAAAGAAGAAAGGTGGAAAAAACGTTTTGTAATCGTTAATGGAAAGCTGATCAACACGGGGACTATCAAAAAGCATCCCCCACTTGAAACACCTCTTTTTTCAGGCAGTGCCTATTTTGTGGTCAGTAGGGAATATGTGGGGTATGTGCTAGAGAATGAAAAAATCCAAAAGTTTATGGAGTGGGCACAAGATACTTACAGCCCAGATGAATATCTCTGGGCTACCATCCAAAGGATCCCCGAAGTCCCGGGCTCACTCTCCTTAAGCCATAAATACGACTTGTCTGACATGCAGGCGGTTGCTAGGTTTGTCAAGTGGCAGTACTTTGAGGGGGATGTTTCCAAGGGTGCTCCCTACCCACCCTGCAATGGGGTCCACGTGCGCTCAGTGTGTGTCTTTGGAGCTGGCGACTTAAACTGGATGCTGCGCCATCACCACTTGTTTGCCAATAAGTTTGACGTGGACGTCGACCTCTTCGCCATCCAGTGTTTGGATGAGCATCTGAGGCATAAAGCCCTGGAGACGTTAAAACACTGACCACTGGAAGCACTTTTAGAGATAATAACAAAGATACACAAAATGTACCCCCATCTGGGTCCTCTGCCTTGTCAACGAGCATCAGAAAAATTGTATGGGGTCCTCTTCGGGGCAGGAACTCATGTCAAGGAAGCCACATGGTTTCTGCAGAGCACAATCAGTTAGAAAGATTAAAGCATTAAATGATCTAGAGTTACTGTGAGGGGAGGGGTGTTAAAGGAGCCACAAGGCAGGCAGGTGACAAGGCACTGTGGAGACGGGGGCTAGGGTGGCTGGAAAGAGTCCGATGCAAAAACCAGCCTGTTGAAAGAGCTCAGGGATTTAACAAAATTAGGAAATTTGACCTGTGCCAAAATTATTTTGAGAATTTTAAATATGATGATTTTTCTGATATGAATAAATTTATAGCAACAAACAGTTCTAAGGATACAATTGATCTTGTATGTTATATTTGTTGAAATAGAAATTTGATTTTACTCTAAATGTCCTTGTGAATAGTTTACTTTCTGCTGTAACATTGTGCTGTGTAGTGTGTCTCCGTATGTCAACTCAGGGAACTTAATATATGGGCTTGATTTAACATTAATATTTCTGTCTTATTTTTGCTTATAACAGTGTGC